CAATAAGCTAAAAAAACACCGCAAAATAAATAAACAAGTACGTCAAAAGTTATGAAGATTATGTAGTGTTAAGTTCAATCGATGTTCATTACACACACACACACACACACACACACACACACACACACACACACACACACACACACACACACACACACCTGCCCATAATGAATTAAATAAACATTACCTCAAAGATAATAATATACATTTACAAAGATACAATTTTTAATTATAATCGAAAATATTATAACTGTAAAAAAAGTATGAATAATAAGATGAATAAACTAAATTAAAAAAAATAAATAAATAAAACATTGACGATAGGTAGAATAAATCTTTTGTATTAAGTTAATTCGATCAACAACATTATGACTTATAAATCTTAACGGGGAATTTTAAGAAAGGGATCACCTAGCTTTCACCACATCCCCTGACTCATTACCGAGGAAATGTCAGCCCACAGGTTATCGAAAATGTCATTATTTTTTCACCCAATGAAGGTGGTGGTGGTGGGGGGTGGTAGGGAGGGGCAAAGGGGAACTGATGTGGTCTTAAGGTCTCAAGTCAATGATCCAATGAGCAAACTCTAAAGAAAATATGAAAGCTATTATTCTGAGTTGGTGAGGAGGAAGGAGGGAAGGAGGGAGGGAGGGAGGGTAGGTAGGTAAAAGGAGAAATGGTTTGTATTAATTTCGGTTTGATTCTGTTGACCATTGTTGTTTTTGATGTCTTAGTGTCTGCCTGTCCTGTCCTTTCATAATGCCAGAGAGCGCGAGGGAAGGGGGGAAAGGGAAGGGGGGGAAGGGAGGGAGGGAAGGGAGTTTAATTTAGAGGGTATTGTCTGCTCCTCCGTCTACCTGTGTATCTGTTCGTTTGTCCCTCCTTCCGTCTCTTCCTTCTTCCCTCTTTCCTTCCCTCCCTCCTTTCCTCTTTTCTTCCCTCCCGCCTTTCTTGCCTCCCTCCTTCCCTTCATTATATATGTGATAACATCGTCTACTATCATCAAGATTTAATCGAATTCACTACAGTGTAAATATATTCTCAAGTTTGTATCTCAGTAATATTTTCCTCAATTACCATCAGTCTGAACATTTTAAGCACCAGACAAATTTCCTGCTTTTATGTCGTAGGTTAACCATTGCATCTTTATATACATCTGTTGTTATTTTTATTTATTTTTTACTCTTACAGCCAATTTAAAACCAAAAGATGAGAGATATTGGTAACCTCAACGAGCAGTTTATAAGAGAAGTAGCAGTTTATTATACGAAGTTCTACACATGTTGACTTAAGATGAACTTTGTTGCTTGTATTAAAGGTTCAGTGGTTTAGACAGTGTAGTGTGGTGAAGGTTATCGTCCAGTTGAGTAAACCAGATCATTAAGTTTATTGAATTAATAGATTTTAGTATTCAGTATAAAATTTTCCCCTATGTATTATTCTTCATCGTTGACATTAAGAAAAAAAATATTATTTATCAAACAAATAAACTTAAGGAAAATACTAGCAATCAAGAATAAATATATTAAAAAAATATATTCTTAAAAAATAAAAAAAAATAAATATATATATAAGAGCAAAGAGCTTCCCTAAACTCCTACTCTTTACCTACGACTATCAAGACCCCTCTCTCACCAACAGAGACTACATTAACCACGGGATCTTCAACTGAGAGATCGAAAGGTTGAATAAATTTTAAACCCAAATCTAAGCTTTTCAGGTATTCCCAAACTTTAAGGAAGCAGTGCCTCACATTAGGTCCTTGTCACATGTAGAGGCTGACGCTTGTTGATGAAATATTTACGTGCAGAATCTGGCCTTTGGCGGCTCAGCGAGTATTAAACCATTGAGCTGGGGGAGAACTGGAGCACTAGGAATTAAAACTTTGGTTCTGTTAGGAAAAGGATGTTAGGTGGGTGGGTGTAGTGTACAGGTATAGGTTAGTGTGGCTGGGAGGCTGTAGTAAACGTGTAGGAAGGTGGTGTGAATGATGTAGATATTTGGTGGTCTGGGTATGGACACCAATCTGGCAAATGTTGGGTTATAGTAGTATTAAAGGGAAGGGGTGGGTCATGTGTGTGTGTGCAAGGAGGTAAAAGCAGTATTAGTTGCTAGTTAGTTTAATAAGATGGGTGTTGGTAGATAAAGGAGGATGAGGATAATAGTTGTATGATAATCTGGCAAAATCAGGATGATGTTGGGTGATAGACGTCTGATTTATAATTGGAGGTGTGGAATTGATCTTTGACATGAGACAATGATGGAGAACAGAGATACAGATAGAATGACGCATGGTGCAATGAATGTATTAAAAAAAACATTAACAATAAGGTATATATAATTGTAGCAGTGTTTCCAGTCACAGGAAGACGGACGTAAGACTGTGAACAAAACACAAAAAAACAAGGAACATATTCGGACTAAAGAGTAAACAACACAAGTAGTTTACCTCAGAGTAGCAACTTGAGTCCTTGTAAGGCAGTTCACATCTTGGCTGAAAAGACAAAAAAAATCATTTAAATTCAGGAAATGAATGAGAAGGAATACTAAACTATATTCCTGACAACCTAAAACCTATTGATAAACCATTCAATAAAGATGAAACAGTCTTGTCATAATTCTATTTGAGTCACTGCCCTTTTCTCTATACGTCTGACTCCTCACATAACTTCACCATTTCTGATTCTGGTTTAGGTAGGTACTTTGTGCTGTGAATCTATAACTAGATGATCGACTTCTTGCCAGCCATCCTGACAAGTTCTCTTTACCCGTGCATACCATTAACTAGACCAGGATCTTGAACAGGTACAGTAGCAGTAGAAGGAGTCAAACAGATCATAGCTTTAATTGTCTCTCATGTTAGAATTATGTCATTATGTATATATTACTATTGTTTGGACTATTCTGACACAAGAGGGAAAAAAATGGATATGTTGACCTTGGTGTTTAGTAAGAGATGTTAGCCTCATCACATCGTCATTAATTAATTTCATCTGGTTGCTTTATTTTTCTCATGTACATATATAATTAATTGATTTATTAATTGCTATCAATATTTTGTACGGTTCTTCAAATTTTTTCATCATTCTATTATTCCATCCAGTTTTAGACTCTCTCTCTCTCTCTCTCTCTCTCTCTCTCTCTCTCTCTCTCTCCACCCAACCCCGTAGCCAGCCAGCCAAGCCCTGAACTCTACCTGTCAATAAATCACACCGCCTCATGTACTTTCCAGCCTTTTATTGTATTTTTTGTATTATTTTCTTTCATCTTTCCAGCAATTCATTCCCCCCTGTCGCTAGCCTTTTTATTTTTTGTTTTTATTTTTTTTTATAAATTTGTGGTTCTTTCTCCCTTAAATTATTCTCAGAGGCGGTAACTTTGAGTCATTGCTTGCATTCTTAACTTGTTGGTCCGGTATTCATCTTTCACTTGCGTTGTGTCTTGTAACTCTTTTGTTTTTGTTTTTCTTGTCTATGTTCGGATTTTTGTTTAGGGATATTTTATTTATTTGTTTATCTATCTATCTATTTTTTAGTTTAATGTTTATTTTTTCTTTCTTTCTTTCCTTCTATTACTCTCTCCCAATCTTCCCTTCCATTATTTACCTTCCTTTCCCCCTTCCTCCCACCACCCTTTCCTCCCCTAATAATCCCCTTTCCCATTTTCTTTTAATTTCAGATTTTTTTTCTTCTATCATTTCTTATATTCCATAGTTTCCACATTCCTTCATCTCTTATCTTTATCAGCGTTATCTTCTCTACTTGTCATTTGCCTCCAGAAATAGTTACTTTACTCCATTCCACCTTTATCCAGTCATTCACCAACAACCACTATCCTCCATTTCGTCCACTAATAACCACAATCCTCCACTTTCTCCACCATAAACCTTCCACCAACAACCACTATCCTCCATTTCGTCCACTAATAACCACAATCCTCCACTTTCTCCACCATAAACCTTCCACCAATACCTACACTCCACCACTCATGCTAGTCATCACAAGTCACTCAGCTGTTCTCTGTTACTCTCTTCATTATGTCTCCTTTCTTGTTGTTCTTGTTTACGGGTCCTATTCCTCGTTTCTTGTTCTTGTTCTTCTTGTTCTTCGTTTTCTTCTTTCTCTTGGTTTATCTATTTCTTTACTTCCTTGTCTCTGTGTTTCTAATGCTTTTATTTTTAAGTTGGTATTTTTCTTATTTCATACGTCTCTCTCTCTCTCTCTCTCTCTCTCTCTCTCTCTCTCTCTCTCTCTCTCTCTCTCTCTCTCTCTCTCTCTCCTCTTATGGTAGATGTCTACCTTATAGTTCTTTTTCTTTTTTCGACCATTCTATCCTTCCTCTTTCTTTCTCTTCCTATTCACATTCCTCTCGTGTCATCCCTCTCTTCCTTGTCTTACCATCCTACCTAGCCCTCTCTCTTGTCCTTTTCTCGTTCCTCTCGCACCCCATCCCTGTTCCTCCCCTCCTTCACTCCTTCCTTCCCTTCCTCCGTGCCCCCCTTTCTTTTCCCTCTTCCTTTTCATATCTCTCTCGCTCTCATCCCTCTTCCTTCTCCTCCTCCCTCGCCACAAGGAAGTTGTAGATTATTGCCGGTCATGTCAGGGTTGATATTGTCATGCAAATGTCTCGTAGTGTCTGTGTTTGCAGGGAAATTAAGGAAGATAACATTGAGGAGTGTGCCGGGGTGAATGTTGGGCTCTGATTCTGATCTGGTGGAGCTCAAACCCTCCTTCCACCTCCCTCCCTCCCTCCTTTCTCTATCTCCCTCCCTCCCTTCTTCCTTCTCTCCCTTTCCACCCCTCCTTTCTTCCATCTCTCCCTTCAACCTCCTTCCTTCCTCCTCCATCCCTCCCTCCCTCTCTCTCTCCCTCCTTTCCCTACCCCCCCCTCCTTCGGTGAATCCAGTTTAGCTTGGCTTTGTCTTCAGTGTCAAACTGGTTTATTTAAATCTTTGATTGTACTCTAGTGTCTGTTAACTTGTCCAGCTGTGTTAGTTTATG